ACCTTTCCTAGGTTTCTTTTCACTTCTAGAAGTATCTGTACATCTCAGGTATTTTTCAGTTTCTACTTCTTCCATCTGGGTCTCCTCCCTGAGTTCTCCAACCATCAGTGACCTTTCCCTACTCTGAACTGATGTGGCTCTTTGCTCCACAGACCCAGGGTCGCTTAATGGTTTGGGCACAGATTGCTTGGGCTCATATTTTGATATTTCTTCTCTCTGTGTATGTGATCTTGGACAGATTGTCTAATTTTTTTATGCCTCAGTGTTTCCCTCTCTTAAAGGGGATGTATCAATAAGAATTCTGTTGCAGAGAACAGAATCTACTCTTGCGAATATAAACAGAAAGCCATAAATTACAGGGTATTACATAATGCAGAGAATATTTAAATTGCCACAGGAAAAAAACTCGAAAAGTGAGCTTTCTGAAGAGTCCCATGGTGCTTGGCAGAAATAGACCACCATGGGGACTCCTGCCTCTTCTCCACTCAGAAAGTTACCTGCTGAATGCCAGGGTCAAATAGAAGTGCAAGGGCTGCGGCAGCCATACCCACCTTCTCCAATCCAAGTAATAAAATGCACATCTCATTCTGGCTTCTCAATGCCCACAAAGTATGGATATAGATAAACCACATTGCTCTACAGATTTTCACATGCAGAGAGCAAAGTGTGGACTCTGCATCGCTTCCTCTTTCCAAACAGTGCTTCAGAGGAGCCAAATCTAAATCCCATCCAGTACCTTAGCTGCAAGGGAGTCTGGAAATGTAGTATTGGGGTTTCTGGCCTCTGCATGTCAGGGAGGCCCTGGTTGAGATGAATGTTGACTGCTAATCCACCATAAATAACACCTACATACAGATAATAGGTTTACCTACTCTATAGAATTGTTGAAGGTTTACATGAAGTGATAAATATAAAGTACTTAAAACAGTGCCTGACACATGGAGACTCTCAATAAATAGAGCTATTTTTTGGCCAGTTCCTAAGATAGTGATCTAGGAAAAGCCAAGCAGCCTTTGATCGATTCCCAAAAGTCCCACCTGCTAGTAAGTAACTTTAATGAAACTACTATCTAAGGAACACCTGTTCCCTGGTCAGAAAATTGAGGCAAAGAGTTACTGCACATATCACGTTTGATCATGTGCAAAAGACAGTTTGAGAATTATAATGAGTGCTCTGGTGGCTTTGCTGTTAAGAGACAAAGGGGAATGAAGGGAAGGAGGGGATGGGAATAGGAAAGAGCAGAATGAGTCAGATATAACTTTCCTATGTTCATATATGAATATACAATCAGTATAATTTCATATCATGTACAACCACAAGAAGTTATCCACCATGTATATATAATATGTCAAAATATACTCTACTGTCACATATATCTAAAAAGAAGAAAAAGAAAGGAAAAAAAAAAGAGAGAGGATCCTGGTGAATTGGAATGTTAGAGTTGTGTTCAAATTCCAATTCTGCCCCTAAGAACAGCAGTCTTCTTCCTGTGCTTTTTCTTATACACTCTTCCATCATTTCTCTCCATTTGAATTTCAAAATTAGCCAGAGACAGCACAGAATTTCACCAGGTCCCCATGAAGAAAGCAAGGTTCACCTACTGCCATTGCCACCTCCCTATAGAGGTAGGCCCTCCCCAGCTCTCCAGAGCTCCTGAGCTCTTTCCAGGAGACTCTCTGTCCCCTTTACACCAGTTCCTATAACTGAAGGGCCAAAGAGGCTCAACCTCAAGGAAGAGACAGGTGGCTTTGGAGCAAAACTTGTAAGGCATTCTCCCCAGGGAGAGAAATTCCGAAAGTTGAGCTCACTCTTTCCTGCCATAAAGCACACTGAATGTTAACAGCTTGCTGCTGTCCAAGCTGGTGTTTTTTAAATTAAGTATTGTTAAATCCATACCATTTGGAATGATGCTTCAGACAGCCCTGACACTAGCTCTTGCTGCTGCTTTCATTTCACCTAATATATTGTGCGTGGAGCCGGGAACCAGGATTATGGCTGCGGCAGCTTCTGCTGCTGCTGCGGCTGCTGCTCCACAGACACTTGCAGACGGCTTTAATTTAGATACCTGAAGAGGAAAAAAGGAACTGGGCCAACGCCCTGCTCACATGCCTTAAGGGGCTTTTCCCAGGCGGCTGTTAGTATGGGTCTAGATTACCTAGGGTTTTATGTTATTTTTCCCTTGGCACTGAAAAATGTCTCAGAAATGACAAACTTGGGAGACAGAGACGCTGTAGGCTAAAATAAGCTACTTTCCATCATCAGGTAATATATACTCATGGTAAAGCCTGGTAGGCTGCCTTCTACTCCTCTGCCTGTGCTGTTACCAGCCCCTTCCAACACACCTCCCTTTGGCCAGACAGCCAACACCTGAATCTGCATGTATGTACAAATATATAGATGTATATATGTGAATATGAGATCAGAGTGGTCGGAGTCAGAAGACCCTGGTACAAAGTCCAGTTTTAGCCAGTGAGGCCTTAGGTAAGTCTCTTCGCTGAGCCTCAGTTTCACATATATAAAAAGGCACTGGCACATAACCAACTGCATCAACTAGTCAAAAATGTCAAGCGAGATTGTACATGCAAAAATCATAAACCTTAACAATATCACATATACTTTGGAAAGTATCAAAATGAGCTCATCTTAAAAACATTCCCCATCACTCTTATCCAACTTGATTTGTTTCTCCTTTTTCTAGAGTTTTAAGTAAACTTAGAATTTTCCCGCACTGTGTTAACTCTGGACCTTTGCAATTGGTTTTGCAAGTTCCTCCAGATTCTCCCAACAGAAAAGATGATGTGGTGGGCAGAGAGACCAGAAGCATGTACTGGGGTCGGCCTCCTCTAGGTGTTCAACCAATGATAGAGGCCTTGACTTTAAAATAGTATATTATTTGAGGACTTCATTGAAGGGACCATCTTGCTATAAATTGGCATGCCCAGCAAAACTCAGAAGATGGTATTGATTTCCAAAGCAGAAGAATCTAGCGTACATGTGCCTACCAGTTATTTTCTGACCATACCAATTTTTTTCCCCTCCACAAAAGATGCCTTATCATTAACATGCTAATGCTACCATTCCTTCTCCTACATCTGACGCAAATGAACAGATAACATAGTCTCAGACTAAAAGTTCATTTCAGTCAAAATATTTTTTTTTACTGTGATGAGGATTTCAGATAGCAATCCAGTATTTTCACATCTACTTGTAAATACCCTTTAGCCTATGAGAATTAGCTAGTTTTCGAGAGATTAGTAAAAATAATCTTTCTGAAAGGGAAAAGCCTATTTCAAAAATAGGACCTCTTTGTGTGTGTGTGTGAATCTGTACTATCATTTTCCTAGTTCAATATATTTGGTAGTGAGGAGAAAATTGAATCCTTGATTGCCCTTGACTTTTGTGACAGGTTAACAGTGGGAGTTTTAAAGCTTCTCCCTTGTTAATTGATATACCATATGAAGTAAGTAGCTGAAGTTGAACAACCTGCTTTTCTTTACCTTTTCGCAAAGCAACACTGCAGGTATGTGTATTGGCAGACCTGCCTGTATTCACATGTCTGTGATGGCTAGATCAGGTTTTCCATATTTGTGTTTCAGACCTCTCATCAGTATTTTTTAATAATGAAAGGAAAGAACATTAAGTGCTTTCTACCTCCACCACATGTATTTCTGGTCTATCAGATCTGTAAAGAAAAGCCTCCTGGTAATACACTATGAAAATGTATGGCTGGGTTTGCTATTCATTCTCTCAAAACTCAATAATTTCCCTAGCAGATAAGAGGAAGTATGTCCTTATTTGACACTTAACACTTTCCTAAAACTAATAATCTCCTCCAGTAGGGTTGAACCTTGCTTGTTGGTAGATTAAGTGGCCTCTGAAGATTGCTGAGCTTCTCTTTGCTGCCTTGTCTCTTTGACGCACATAAGTACTTCCTCCAGGGCTGGGCTGCACCTCCGAGGTCAACCTGTCCAGCCCTCTGGCCCTCCTGGACTAGTGGTCAACAAAGGTTTATCCTTTTCTGCAGTATAGCAGCTCCGAAAAAGAATGTGAGTCAGGTGAAGAGGAGACTGTAACTCTTGGTTACAAGGTTTGGGGATTAATTGAGGATTTAATTCATCTTTTCTTTCCCTCCCCCTGGGAAGCAGATAGTTGAGAGTTGGCAAGGTGTCAAAACCAGGCAGTTTCTCAACCCCAAATTTCAGCCCCACTCAGTCTGGAGTCTTTGTTCAAGGCTTCTTTTAAACCAGGGGTTCTCAATTTCTAATTGTGCCTTTAGAATCAGTAAACCTTGGATGTTTCAAATTGTCACTTTACAAAGAAGCAACTTGTCCCGTCTCCCCACCATCAAGTCCTTAATACACAAAATAACTTATGCCACTGTTAGGGTTAGTGAGGAATTTTCATGAACTTCTACAGTATTCCTTTTTCTAGTCAAAGGGGAAAATAAAGAGGAACCTTACGAAGAGGAAGAAAGCAGTTGTCCCGAATACGTTTAAAGGGCACATTAAGTCAGTTTTTGACTATGGTTCTCTCCCTTTATGGCATATGTTATATATTGACAGGGATTAAGTTTCTCTCCTGAATGGAACAATGCACGGACACAGGGAGCTACTGTACTTTACAAAGCAGCAGACATCAGCACAGGCAAATGGCAAACAGAAACACATCTCACAGAGAACTGACCAGGTTAGGGAAAAGCCCAGTGCTTTGCTTCGTCTTGTGTACTTCTGCACCTCTGGCATTTCTCTTCTCGCTCTGCTGCTCGCTCTCCTTTCTTTTTCGTCCTTTTCCCCCTTTTTTACTCACACTGTTACACTTTCTCTGTCCCCCTGGCTTTGTTATTCAGCATGTCTGATTAGCAGGAGCCTGATTGGCTGGCTGCCTGCTCCGAGAGAGATTCCATTCAGCTTACCCCCCACCCATCCACCCACCCACCCCTCGGTCAGGAAATGTGAGCGGGGCTGATGGAAGCTGATAGGCAGGGCTGGAGTGTTAGCACCAGGACTGGATGTGACAGCAGGCAGAAGAGCACTTAGCAGCTTATTCAGTGTCCGATTCAGATTCCGGCAAGGATCCAAGCATGGAATGCTGCCGTCGGGCAACTCCTGGCATACCGCTCCTCCTTCTGGCTTTCCTGCTCCTGGTAAATGCCTTTTCATTTCAATATGTTGCTATAGCCATTTAGTCTGGGTGCTGTTGGGGTGGTGTGTGTGTGTGTGTGTGTGTGTGTGTGTGTGTGTGTGTTCATCTTAAAATTCCAGGTAAAATAATTTACATGATAGAAGAAGTACCCCAACTCCTTCCAAAACTTTAATTCCAACTTCCCAAGCTGAATAAAGTCTACAAAACTTACAGGAATTAGTTACAGGTATATCATAATTTTGTTACTGAGACACAAACTTTGGGATATACTGCATAGAATCTGTGAGCTGAGGACTATATAAATGTTTGGAATTTGGATAATAGATGTCCTGAAATCAAACTCACTCACTGTGCTGTTCCTGGAATTTTTTGAAGGATAGGCTGTGAGGGGCTTCCCTCCAGTACCTTCTACGGATTATTTTTCCTCTGTACACATGTCCTAGGGAACCAGGTGAAAGAGGGAGTGAGAGCCCTCTGTGCAGCCAACCCAGATTAGAGCTCTTAATTACTGCACATTATTTATGGATAAAAGTTAATTCAAGTATCTATGAATTGAGGATTATAGCCTTTGATCTCAGATCTTCTTTTGAAGAAGAAAAAAAATGATGACTTTCTGTACGGTTAATTTCTACAGTCAATAGTGATAAGATGCTCTGTTCTCGAACATCAGCACATACTACATTTTTGACTCAAAGTAAATGTTCCGTTGTGACTCATACTTGGTTTTATGGGCAGAAAATGAACATTTACTGTCCAAAAACAATCTACACTCAAAATATTAATAGCAATGCACATTTTTTTTTAAACCAGAGTGTTCTGGGCAGGCAGTTTAGTAAACCTCATCTGAAGGTTGGATTCCAAAATTTGCACACACTGATTCCAAACAAACGTGATTGTAGCTCTCCTTGTCACATTTATGACATGCCAGAACTTCCTCAGATGGTAACAAGGCAAGAAGGGAACAAGGTAAAAATGCAACCAGAATATAGGTTGTATTGCTTCATTGATGGGGAAGGAATATTTTGTTCTGCTTTGTGTCTGACAAATTTGATCTGCACTATAATTTTGAAGAAAGGAAGCAAGCCATTTGGTAAGATTGAAAAGGTCTAGGAAGATTCATCAGATAGAGTAGACAGACAGTGATTAAATATTTTATGCATTCCTGTATCTTAATAATTTGCATCATTGTAGCTAAAAATTATAATGCTGCCTTGTAAATTGGAATATATTTTCAGTTTTTTGTAGAAACTTAAAGGCAAGTGAAAGTTTAAGCATGAGTAGACTATAAGTTTTAGCTGTACTGAAGAATATAAAGAGCAGAATGTTTAGGTGTGCTTTATGTCTTGTAAAGCAAGCAATTTATAAAAGGTGTCTCATTTTTTCCATATGGGATGTGTTACTTATATACATCATTAGTTTGTCTCGTCTTTCCTTCTTTGTGATTTTTTTAAAGTGTGTGTTATTTCCCCAGTAAATTGCATCATAAAGCAAATTACCAGTACACATTACTTTTTTTGATATTTTCATATGGAAGTATGATCTCATTATACTTGAGTAATACTAGCCTACACAGGAATAGATTGTTTTTCTACCCATTTGGTAAATGCATTATATTCCTCTTTGATATCTTAAATTCATATATGTATTTGAGCATATAATTAGACTTACTTGGAAAAAAGGAGTGTTTGCTTATTTCAGAAGGACTTAACACATGTTTGGATTACAATAATTGCATTATGAAGTTGAAATGAAATCAAACCCAGGTTTGTTTTAGGCCTGTGTTTAAATGAATTGCGAATCTAAAAGTTATGCCAGGAAAAAAAAAAAAAAAACAAGAAGTAGCTGTTGAGTGCCTAGATACATCCCATGCAGAGCAAGAACAGCATTAATAAGAGCTGTCACGTGTTGTGTCTAAAGGTGGCAAACACTAGACCTGTTGTTTGAAAAACATTTCAGTGAACCCTCACAATAATCATGTAAAGAAAGTACTTTCAAACCCATCCTACAGATAATGCAACCAGCTTATATTCGAACCCAAAGGTCAAAGAATGGGGAGAACATAAATTGTTTGCTTTGCACTATGGTCGTAAAAATGTCTGGCAATGATGGAAGCAATGATGAGAATTGGTCTGCACTCTTTGTTGGAGACAGGCAGTCTTTTTGCATCATCTTGGCCATTAAAGATATGTACAGTGTGGTGGATACTTGTTATACTTGCTCATTAACTGCCTCTGTTAGGTTTACAGCCAAAATTAATTATTGGCTTAAGAGAAAGTGAACTTTAGCCTGACCTGTAGTTGACTTAGAACTAAAAGTGTGACTTTGTCAGCTCAACCTTCAGACTTGATAAAGATACTGACTTGGAGGACCTGTTTTTCCTATGATTCTTTTACATAACAGAAGAGTCTGTCTACTCTTAAATTAATTTAAGCAATTTCTAAATGTCTTTTTAACTTAATTGGAAAACATCTCTCTGTATAATGACAGGTCCAATTTTTACCACATCAAAATAGCTTTCATTTCACTGACAGTTAAATCATATGTCTCATGACTCAGTTCCTCAGCGTGTACACATGAATAGTATTGAGCCCTGGTTTTGTCAAAATCCTTTCCTCCCAGCACACTATTCCCTAGAGAATTAGGTCCCAATGCCTTTCGTGTCTATTTTAGATCACCACCGTACTTTCATGCACAGTGTGCCTGCTGGAGACTTCTTTTTAACTCTGGACACAGTTGGACACTAGTATCAAACAAGAGATTTCATTTTGATATTCAGGTCAAATTAAGCCACATAATATGACTTTCCCAATCTTCTCACCCTGTTCCCCCTTTTCATTCTCTCTCCTTTGTCTCAATTGTTTAGCTCAAAAGAAATGTGGCAAAAACCATGACCGGCCATTGACATATGTGTCCATCTACACTTGAAGTCAAATCACTTCTTGTCAGAAAGGCATTTAATCAAATTTGCATTTGCTTTTTGTTTCTTTTCAGTGGTTTTTTAAGCTCTTTTGCCTGCTATTGTGAGAGTTGCAAGAGTAACACTAGGAATTATAATAAAGTACATGTGTTTTGCTGTTGAATTTCTTTTTCTTCTCTGTACTAATTTATACATGGAAACTAGTCAAACACAATAGCCCGTTCCCTTCAATTCCTCTGGCACTGTCTTCCACTATTATCTAAGTGAATCTATCTTGGATGGCGAGAAGCTCCATTAGCTTGTGGAATGAATGTTAAATCCCTTATTTACAGCAGATTGTGGCCTGTTCCAACAATGAGAGAGTGTGTGTGCGCGCACGCCTATGTGCACAAGCACCTCTCTATAACTGTTCACTCTATTTCTTATTCTCCACCTATGCTGTCTTTAAATCAAACTTAAAGAATTTCTTGTCCATCTGTGGAGCACAGCAGCATTTATTTAAAAGTGATTTTCTTGATGTTTTCGTGAAGTTTCTTGTCATTTATCGTCATTGTTATTTTCTTGGGCTACTGTTTTTAGTTTCAGTCTGCTCAGGACCACTTCCTGACTCCCTTACTATTTTCATGTGAACCAGTTCTGTCCCTTCATATAAGATGAGGGAATAATGTCCAATAGTGGTCACTAGTGAACCACAGAAGAGGCCTGTTACACTGGGGAAGTTTTCCTTGTATGATTCTATGGACAGTGAAGACTTTTAAGAGAGAGAATGAATAAAGGAATGTATGTGTTTGTGCTTTTATAAGATTCTTAGTCCATGTTCATGCCCCAAGTGGAATTAGGGAAGAAGGGATGCCCTTACACACCCTGGGGTAGGCTCTTGCTCTAATTAGGAGTGACACAAAGTTCATTCTTACAGCTTAATATCAAAATTAAAGTCAGAGTTTGTGGAATTTTTTTTATCAGTGAAGTGTACAAGCTACTCATTTGTAAAACTCCGTTTATTTTAGCATGTTTTTGCATAAGAATTATATCAGATGAGACATGGCCTGGTATTTGGGTCTTCTTCTTTCTGTGACTTTATCAAAATATAATTTCAAACTCTTACAGGAAAATATAGTGTCTTGTGAATTTCTGCATTTCCTGTGGCACCTAGTAGAGTGCCTTTATATTCAGGCAGCAGAAACACTTGTGAACATTTTGAAGAAAGGAAAGGTCTTATAGAGAGAGCACATGGTGCCCTCACTCTTCACATTTTTCCATGTTTTCAGACTTCATTTGTTTAGACCACTTTCCTCAGTCAAATGACAGTTCTGCTTTTAATTTGTGTGTCTTTCAAGTTCTAGGAACATCACTTTCTCAGGTTCAATTATCTAAGTTTCATCCTTCCCTTCCTCTACTGTTTCTGTGGTCTCATGAGTAGGGTGACCTAGGAGTGACCTCTTCTAGCATGGGGACTCAAGTCTTTTCTTGAGTGAGAGCATTGCTTGAATCCTCATGAATAACCTACTGGTTAAGTGTGCTGAGATAATCACAGGAAAATGTTTCTAAATCGAGTTTTATAGTCTTGCCGTTGTTACTAATTTTCTTCTTCTGGAGGGTTGGCTTCAAACTGCGTTTTCACCAGAATGAGACAAATTCATGTCATTTTCTGTCTACATCATAAAAATCATACCATGTGGTTGAATTTTGGCTTGATTGGCAGTACTGGCTCATGAGCGGCTTAGGACTGGCATACCAAAGGTGATGTAAGTCCTAAAGGATCCTAATTGAATAGACCAGCACAGCTGTGTGGGGAGCCTGCCTGCTAACTGGGGTGAGCTGTTGCTATCAACCCCTTCTTTCCATGAGCTCAAATATAAATGACTAAATCTCCCCAATTCCCGAACTTCAAGATTAAAACCTACATAGAATAAAGCCTAACTGTTCTGCTTTGCTGGTGCACCCAGCATGGAAGGCAGTTAGTAGAAAGTTTTCTGACCATGAAGAAGATAACCCTGATAGATATACCCTTAGCCTGCAGCCAACAGTGGCCTCTGGCTTTTCACGTGTTTGATTTCCAAGAAGCTCAGAATTTATAAATCAAC